ACACCTTCACTTACTATGTTATAAACTGGGTGAAGCAGAGGCCAGGACAGTGCCTGGAATGGATTGGATGGATTTATCCTCGCAATGATGAAACTAAGTACAATGAAAAGTTCAAAGGAAAGGCCAGGTTGACTGCAGACAAATCCTCCAGCACAGCTTACATGGAGCTCAGCAGCCTGACATGTGAGGATTCTGCAGTCTATTACTGTGCAAGACACAGTGTTGAAAACATGTCCCGAGTATGTCAGAAAGACCGAAGGAGTATGATGTTCCCCTAGAACACTAAAGATGCAGAAGATTATTCTGAAGAGTTACTTGCAATTAATCATTCTGAGCACCCCTTTTTCTGCCTCTTTCCCACAGTATTATATGGTATTTGTCAAATTTTGAACATTATATCTGTGAATAAAGCAATGCTTTTCTGTTTATTGTGGTACACTGTATCTTGACTGTCTCTTCACTAGTGATCAATTTCGTTGGCTTTTTTCTTCATTAATAAAACAATATAAAACAGATAGCATGATAATGCATAGTGATAAAATATTTCTGGATTCCAAGAGACTGAAACTTTGAACGGAGTTGTTTGGAATGAAGTAGAATATGAATTCTACATTTACAAAGCACATAAATAACATCTGATCAGATAAAAACTTGTCTCATAGCTCTAAGTGACCTGAATGTGTGCTGTAAACTCTGGCTGTGTTATTCAGAAATCCTAGTCTCTTAGAATGTAATGTATGTATATCAGAATGCACAGTCATATAAGTATAATTCCTGTAAGTTGGACAATTCTTCAGAGAACTCAGTAATCAACTCAATGTATGTACATGTTAACTGAAGCAGGTTCTCAGATGATACATGAAACTTTCATTCCATACTTCCTTTTGTCCCGGTATTTGCATGCTGACTCAGTATCATGTCTCACAGTCTCCCACTGGGTACCTGCAGGTGACTCTTGTTCTTTAGAGCATCTGCTTTTGGCTAAATGGGTGATTATAAACCAGCCCATAGACACCCATGGAACGTGGTAATCTCAGGGTTTGATATACTAATAGTTCTCTGTATTCAGAACATTAATTTTGCATGTTCCTGTAGGAAACATTTCCCCTTAAATATGAATATCATATGCTTAATAGGGATGACATCTCATATGCTGAATACGTTAAATCAGGCAGGAATTTCATTGGTTAATGATATATTAGACATCATGCAAACCATTTTGATAAAAGTCATTTTGGTATTCCCAGAAAATTCATTCAGCAAAGCTCCCCCACTTTGTGCATCCACTGTGGGGATCAGTGTCATTGTTTTACTTGAACCTGGGAATAGATCTCCATCAATATCTAACTATCTCAAACATATACAAAAAGGACTCGGCAAAAACAACAAAAGTTGCCAAACTAACACTGTCCAGTAGGAGAGGTTATATATTCAAAGTCTCTTTTTGTTAAATGCTGAGAAATCTCTGAAAATGTACTTTAAAATTAGGGTTTCATAGAGGGTTTGGAAGAATAGACCTCAATAAATAACATAGATTGATTAAAATAAAGTTTTCCTACATTATAGAGTAGATGGTGAAACATGTAGAAGAAGAAATTAGGTATCAGTATTTACTAGTCATAAAAAGACTGGTTCAGGTATGTTTTGGTTGTCTAGCGGACTTTCAAACAATAAAAGTTGCCAGCTGAAAAGTGGGCTGTCATATATTAAATGGGTTTGAGTTTGAGGTGATGTTTTGAGTTTTAGGGATAATGACAACAAGAATGAGTTGTTCCGTTTGTATTTTCTAATTGTGACTGAACATGTAATCTTGAACAAATAATGATAAATCAATCATATATTCTGTACCACATGGACAATGTTTAGCCTGTCTTTGTTCTGTGAAACTTGTGTGAATAAAGAAGCTGATTGCTAGTGTGTCAGGGCAGCAGAATTGGCCTGATTGGTAGTCAGAGCCACAGAAGTGACCTGATAGCTAGCAATTCAGCTATGAGATTCCCAAACCATCATGCCTTCTCCTCACTGATTCCTTACCTCCTGTGCTGTCCACTCTCTGAGCACAGACTCTTCTTCTATCCTCTCCATGCTGGGAAAGATACCTCATCCCAGAAAGGACCCTGGCACTGTTTCTTGAGTGTGTGTGTGTGTGAAGAGGAGGTTGGTGCTTTTTCTTCTGTTTGTTTTATACAATTCCAGTTATCATTTTCTTCATCTTCTTTTATCATTATGCTTAGCTAACTGATTCGGGCTTCAGCAGAAATACTTCTTTCAGCAAATGTAAACAGAAACAGATACAAACAGCAAGACATTAACTGAAAGAACAGGAACACACAGTTCTAAATGGGTTGACTCAAATCAAATCCCATCCTTCAGAGTTCGAGGAATCCTTGAACTAGTCAAGACAAAGCAGAAAGAATAGAAGAGTCATAAGTGATTGCAGACCCAGGATTTGAAGGCCTTTAACTCAACTGAGCCATGGTCCTATGAGCTCACAAAAATTAAATTTGCAAGCACAGGGCTATCATTGGTCTGGTATTGATACCTTGTATATATATTATACTTTTCATTTTAGTAGTTTTATTGGACTGCTGAGTGTTTGAACTTGGACAAGTTTAATCAACAAAAGGGAAAGAGTCCTAAGAGAAGGCACAGGAATCAGAGCCCATCTAGTTCAGTTTAATGGCTTTTGTTTTAGCTAACTGTATTCTATTGGGCTAAGTTTTATTTTTACCTCTTAGAAGTCTTATGAGAAACCAGATGTAAGTGGATCCAGATAGGAGAAGAGGTGCCAAGAATATGAAGGAGTGGAGTGAGGACAAATATAATAAATAAAATATATCATATGATAAAAGTATTTGTTGTTAATTAAAGGGGAAATGAAGCAATAACCAAAAAAATGACAAACAAAAAAGAAGCCCAAATTCATATTAAAGAACAGATAGTGACTTAATTCTTTCTCATTTTCTCAGTATTTTTTCTTTCATTTGCTCTAGGCATTCAAATTTCCAAGGCTTCCAACACAGGGCTCACCATACATGAGGAGGACATGTAATTAATCAATTTGCTCATCAAAATCAGTCCAGCCTTGATCCTGTAGCTCTGACAGAGGTGCACAGTCCTGAATTCCCAGGTCCCATCACTTAGTGATCAACAGTAAACAGAGAACACTCAATAAGCAGTCACACTAAGGTAGCATTTTCTTGTTTATTTTTAAGTTTTCTAATTAAATATTTTAGAGAATTTCTTATGTGAGTACTGTTGTAGCAGATACTGTATCATTAAAAATTTGCCGTTCATAATGCTTGTGTCATGTCTTCTAGAACAATAATCCAGAACTCAAGCATCACTTCTAGGCATGTTATCAAAATACAAGATGAGGTGCCTATCCTCCTTGAGGTTCAAGAGAATGGATCCCTCTTTTTAATCTTCACCACTCTGTATCTTATGCAGGCAGTTATCAGTGGCTGTGGTACCGAGGCAGTGGAAGAGCAGCCTGACTTCTATGCAGGAGTCGATTTACTTCAGGAAACTTCCCAACATAATCCCAGAGCTGAAATCAGTGTTGGAGGTAAAGTATCTGTATTTCTGTTCCTGCAAATATGGAGTAAGGCTCATTGCAGAGCTCTAAGATTCAGACCTTTCATCTGATTGGTTCTTTTCATTATCTCTAAGGAGAGTTTTCAGTAATTATCCTTTCTCATTAATACAGGCCCATTTCAGCACTATATTCTAAAATGTTTCAGCTTCTAAGCATCAGCCAGGTCCTGAGCTGTTTCAACATTTTAGTTATTATATCAATAGTTTCCACTCCTATGTAAAGTTAGTATGGAAGCCTTTTTAATTTGTCTATTAAATAATGTAGGTTTTACCCTCTGAACAAAGCAGCTCTGCCCCAAGGGTAGCATGAAGAAAACAGGAAAGAGCCTATTTTCTCCTGTTATTACATTTTTAGGAATGGGAACTGCAAGAGATGGTTCCAACTGAACCAAGGAGGAACCTGGCTTCGAGAGGGATATTATAGTAATAGTGGCATGACTTAAAATCTCTGATGCATAAATCATTATCCCTAGATAAACTAGAGCCATGTATCCCTTAAGCTGTGCTCTGTGAACACTGGAGTTACAGGGATAAGGTGTTTCTTAAGCCAGACTCTGCAACTTTAGTGAGAGCCATGACAAACCAACATGCATGGGAGTTCGTGACCAGCAGGGGGCGTAATGAAGCTGACAATCCCCACAGAGATGAGATGTGTGTGGAGGGGATTCTGTATCCTCTGTGGTTTCTTTTCTTGAGTATATTAACTGAACAGTCCTGCTGTTATTGTAATGTGATGTCTTTATGGTCAAACACAGTAAATATTCTTTGTTAAACACTTCACAGATGCCTTAGTTATAAAATCCTTTGTTGACACAAGTATAGTTTATTCCTGTGATTTAGGTAATGGTGAGAGTGAAGCAATAATTATTGATCTAAATATTTCAGAAATATATTTACTTTTGTGCATTTGCATGAAATTTTGAGTGTATAAACTGTTGGAAAGGCAATTATTAATTACATTTAAAGGAAAGAAGGCTCTAAATTCTCAAAAACTAACTGTTTTCAGAATTTTCCATCACACACATCATCATTATGGACATTATCATCATCATCATCATCATCCTCACAACCACCATCTGTAAATCAATCTGATGACATTGACTCAAAGACAAGCAACAGTCACAGACCATGAGTCGGCTGCATGGTTATTTTCCGATGTTCCATGCATGAGCACACGGCTGAGGAAAAGTGTATGGCATTCATTTCCTCTGAGAGGGATTAGAACTTGGACTTGAGCATCCTGCTGCCTGACTCATGTGCCTTTTCTCTCCTTCCTCTCCAGTAGTTCTTCATCTGAACTAGGTTCTTATGTAAGAAGTACCCTGCTCATGAATATGCAAATTACTTGAATGTATGGCACTAAATACAGGAACGTCCACACCCTAAAAACAACATATCAGTGTCCTCTCCACAGTCCCTGAACACACTGACTCTAACCATGGAATGGAGCTGGATCTTTCTCTTCCTCCTGTCAGTAACTGCAGGTAAGGGGCTCACCATTTCCAAATCTGAAGAGGAGACAGGTCCTGAGATGACAATGACATCCACTCTGTCTTTTTTTCTACAGGTGTCGACTCTCAGGTCCAACTGCAACAGTCTGGAGCTGAGCTAGTGAGGCCTGGGTTATCAGTGGAGATGTCCTGCAAGGCTTCTGGCTACACCTTCACCAACTCCTATGTGGGTTGGGTAAAGCAGAGATCTGGACAGGGTCTGGAATGGATTGGACATGTTCTTCCTGGAAGTAGTTATATTTTCTACAATGAGAAGTTCAAGGGCATGGCCACCATGACTGCAGACACATCTTCCAACACAGCCTACTTACAGTTCACCAGCCTGACATCTGAGGACTCTGCGATCTATTACTGTGCAAGACACAGTGCTGTAACCACATCCTGACTGTGTCAAAAACCATAGAGGAGCAGGAAAATACCCTGCAGCTGATATGACAGAAAGACTAATCTTTAGAACCTTTTGCTCATAAACAGTAATTTTGAATATCCATTTTTTGCTTCTTCCTCACAATCTTATAATGCCGTTGTCATTTTTGTAAAAGGATTTCTATGAATAAAACGATACTGATTTAGGATAAATCTACAGTTCACAACAACTTGCTACTCTCTTCACCATTTACCACCTCCATTGACATGTTTCTGATTCAATAAAATAATAAAAATGGAAAAGTATGGTGATGCATAATAAAAATATTACTAGGTCCTGAGAGATCACAACTTTTGTTGAAATTGTTTGGAATAATGTACAATATGAATTTGACCTATAAAATCCAAATCAGTAACATCTGGGCAAACGAACACTTCTTCATAGTATAAAGTAATTAGTGACCACAAATGTGTGGTTGTCTCTGGCTGTGTGTTCCAGCAGAAATTCCAGTCTCTTGGAATGTGAGAAATATTTATATAAGAATGCACAGGCATGTAAATATAATTGCTGTAGGTTGGTCAAAATATTTTTAAATCATTTTTCTTGAAACTCATTTACAAACATAATATATGTACCTGTTAAGTTTTTTAGGTTCTAAGATTATACATAAGTGTTTGCTCAATATTGCTTTCCAGTCTCAGGATTCATCACTATAGTCACTAGCCTTTTTAGAACATGGACCTGTACTGATATAGCATTGATTATCATAGTCCATTGCATACCTGTTGTTCAGCTGTGTTCAATAGAGTATTTGTGAATGTGTGTGTCTCTGCATCCACATGTGTTTCTTGTGCTTTGTTTTTGGTCACTTTTTTCCATTTGTTTGATTTCCTTTATCTTACTTTGTATTTCTTCTTTTTTATTATGTTTAGTTTCTGTTTGTTTTCTATATAAGATAAAGAAACAGAATCAAGCTGGGAGAAGATTGGGGAGGTATTGGGGAAGGGAAATCTGGATTTCGAATATATTGCAGGAAGAACATATTTTCAATGAAAAATAGGAAATAAAGAACTTAAAAAGTTAATAAATAATTCTGTTAACATCCATGTTGTGTAAATTTCTCATATGCACAAGTGTCCATTCTTTAGATCTCATGTCCTTTTAAATTGTTCAAAGGACTGTTCAGAAGGCAGGTCTGAAAAGATGTAGTAATTCTACATCGTAGTAAAACACACATGTAAACTGAGTGGGTTTTAGCCCCCTCCCCTGTTTGTGTGTGTTTGTATGTGTGTGTGTTAGAAATAGAGAGAGAGAGAGAGAGAGAGAGAGGGAGGGGGAGGGGGAGAGGGAGAGAGAGAGAGAGAACATTTTTAGTAATGGACTTTTTCATTATTAATTTCTAAGTCCACAGAGAAGTTTCTACTAGGATATCTTTTATTTCTTGAGGGTGTCCCTGCAGGCATCCTAGTGGGAAACAGAGCATGGGAAGAGATAAGAATGTGAACATGGTACAGATTGACTTTTTCAACCTGGATCAGACTTTGGGGATTCTAAGCACAGGCAGTGCATTATAGTTATATTTCAACACAATACAAGTTGGAAAAGGATTTCTAGGCAAGAATGATTTCCATCATTATCCCAAATCCCATTGCACAATAAAACTTAAGGTATGGCTGTATAATCATATTTTATGAAGTTCTTGTAACCAGAGGGTAGGTTCTTTAGCTAAAGTCCAGAGTCTAGTGTGCTCTCTGACCCACAGCGTACAGATCAGGAGGCTATAAATACATGACATCTCTCCCAGAGAGAGGGAGAAGCTGGGCATTTCACATTGCATGGCCTTCATTTCATTTTGGTTTGTATCATTCTTTTTCTGTGCATTATAAATGTTTTAAATAAAATCTGTCATATTAATTCACTGTGTGATTTTTTTTCGTGATTCGGAATAAGAGATATAAAGAAAATAACTTAATTAAAGACTGACCTTGTCTATATCCAGAACACTGAAGTAGGTGATGAAAACGATGTCCTCTCACCGACACCATATACTACTGCCACCTACATATGAATTTAGGCAAAGTTTACCACAATATCCTGAATTAGAAGTTCTGCCATTATCTGTTCACACTTTTATGGACCTCACCTGGGATTAGTTTCATTCCTGTCAACTTATTCTCTGCCATTTTTGCCTTGTAGAATGCTCCTTGAAACAACTTCTTACATATGCCCATGACATGACCATCACCAAATCAGAATGTGTTAACTCTCCTGCTCTCCTCTGATGCAAAGGCACTACAGGATGATGTATTAATGCCTCTTTAAAGGATCCTGAATCCCTGTGATAATATTTGCCCAGGTTTATCTCTACAAACATGGAACCAGAAGAACTTGCCTTGCAAATGTAAAGAAGCCTTAAGAACAGAGAGGTCTTCATCCCTCTGCTCATTGAACTGGGCCTCGTTTTTCCTATGGGTGTGACAGGAACTTCTTGAGCAGCCCGTGTCCAAAAAAACAAAAACAAAAACAAAAACAAAAAAACCAACTGGCCAGTGATATCCAGGACAAGTTTGAGCAAGCAATGGCCTCTAATTCAGACAGCCTCAAGTCTCTTCAGAATGAAACAACCTCCTTTGCAGGCGGTGTTCTCTGAAACAGAAGAGCTTTGGACTAACTGACTGCTGAACAAGGAGGCAATTGCATTTTGCTGGAAAAGAAATGCTCCTTCTATGTCAATGAACCTGGGATGGTAGAAGAAGATGTACAAATGATCAAAATGCTCTGGGAGAATGTCTGGGCAAGCTGTACTCCCAACACCACTACCCATTGGTACTCTAACCCCTTGGTATCTTTGATTCTTCCCCTCCTCATCCAGTTTTCTAAATCAGCAGATGAGTAGAATGTCAAAGATCACTACTCTTGGTTCAATATCAAACTGTTTACAACATTGGAGCCAGTTGTTTTCATGACACCTCTTTTTTGTAATAAGAAAAGTATGAGTGGGGCAGTGGACCTTGCCAGGATACTTTGTAAGTTTGAGTTAGTTTGAAGCCTCATAACCTCATACATACCAGAGCATGGTATCAGCTTCACCTTCTTTCAACCTGGCCTCTGTCACAGGACCACAGTTCCCCCATGGAGAAAATCCTGACAATCAGTCATGTGGGGGCAGTGCTCCTAGCCCTTCCACATGCAGATGAGGCATCCTTAAGATGTCAGACCAAGCCAATAGTAGGAGTCTGCTGTCAGAACACCAATCCACCCAAACATGTATATAAGATCCTATCCAGAAGGAATAAAAGCGTATAATAATTATTCTATCAGGAATTGTCTGAGAGCTTCTCTCATATAAAAGCTGTAACACATCACTTTGGGAGAATAGTCCCCCAAACCTTTCAAGAGTGGAACCTACCTGGGTCCACACAGATCAATTCATACCTGGTAACCCTGACCTTGGTTCCTAGGTGCTGCATCTGGCTTGCTAGCTGAGTTCCCTGCTGGCTCTGGTCATAGGAATAGTGCAGATGCACTCTTCTGCTCATGCCACCCTGCCTGCTACACAGCAATTGTCTCACCATAGCAGCAGCCACAGAAGAGTGCCTTGATTCAATTGCCCTCTTATATATACCTAAACACTCATGCAGGGGCAGTGCCTCCACTCTCTCACAGATCTCAGCAGATAGCTTTCTGTATACAGACTAGCAGGTATGAGAATCTTTCGATCTGATGTGATGTCCAAGGTATATGTATCACATCCATCCTAGTTTTCAGATTTACTTGCAAAGCATTTCATTATCTGATTGAGAACCAGCTCCAATGTTATATTTACAATTTTAGGTTACAGTTTGGATTCCTGAGATTAAGAACAAGTACTCATTAGGAATACACTTTCTTTCCCTTCTTTCTAAGCTTAAATACTAATAGCTGGATTATATTTTCATCTCATGAGACTAGATCTTTCCTTTAGTAGCAAACTTTACATATCATGGCAATATATGTTTTATTGGTGCTATACTCTGTGCATATCTTCAATCTTATTCACCCTCCCCATCAACATGTAACATGATTTCCACACAAAATAAAAACAGAACCATCATTTTCAATCCAAGTGCTTAAGAATTTGTGAAGGATGAATGAATGGTTTCATTTTATCTAACAATTGCTTCCACTGCAGAGGTTTTCTCTTCACATGACACTGTGATAAACAGGGAGAACAAGTCATGCCTGGAGCACTGACTGAAAAATACATAAAATAAACTCTCACCTTGAGTATGAGGTTTCATCTGAGGTTTGGAATTTTGAACACTTTAAAGTCATTCAGTGAAAGATTTGAGTAAGTGAGCTGCTCCAAATTTTCCACAATATTTTATAATCTTTAAGACCTCATTGACAGCGTGCATTTCACATCTATATTAGTACTACAATGTTAGAAAAAATTATGGAATTGATAACAAACTTAATTTTTGTTGACACAGTCCACACTTGTCCTCAGTCTTTTAATCTGAGGCCCAGAAGTACTCCGTGAACATCTGAAAAATGCAGGAAAATTATCTACATCTATTGCAGCTCATATCACAGTCTTAAATTGACATCTTACTTATAATCTTCCGATGGACAAAGCATCAGAAATGCAACATCTACGTTCCTGGTTAGATATGATATTCTATCTCAGAAGAGTCTTTGGTCCATGAGTCCCATATAGAGGACAAGCAGTCCTTCTCTTTCTGGTCTTCTGGCCTCTTTTTTCAAACCTGACAACTTAATAAGGTTCCAAAATCATTCCTTTGTCATATGCTTCTTGTGGAAGCTTCCTACAGCCTATCATTGATGAGAACATTTGTGAGATATTTGAGTCTCATGGAGAGAATTTCAGAGATTCTCAAATATTCTCTTTTTTTAAAAGTCATATAATTCAATCATAGAAAAAATTCCCTATAATGTTGATAACCCTGGGGAAAGGAACCAAAGCATCAGTCCATGTTGCATTGACCATCTATCTTTAAGGGTTCTGGGCCTCAGCT